AGGAATGGTTCCGAGGTGCGCAGGCGGGCGGGGGTGGGGGGGGGCGGAGGCGCCCCCTACTGACCTCGCAGCGGGCGGCGCGGCGGGGCGGGGCAGCGTGAATTGAGGGGCATTGGTGGACTCATGGAGTTGGCTGGGCCAGAGGGCCTGCTGCTCAGGTCCCTCTGCAAAGTGCATCACCCCTAGTTAAACAGAGGTTTTACTCTGGGTCTCTTGTGGGAGGCCCCCAACCCTGGTTTCTCCTTTGGTTGCCTTCCTCCAAGGCCTCTCGGCTCTGCACCCCAACTTAGGCGACTCCACTCTGAGGCCCTTCTCGAGAGCAAAACAGGTTCCCTCTACAGCTCCAAAGTGGAGCCAGCTTCTTTGCCCTTCAGAGTAGCATGCCTTCCCTGCCAACTCTGCCCATCTCCCTTTCCTGCACTTTGCAGGGGACCCCATTCTCCTGACTTCCACCAGGCTCCTCCCCACTACCTGCTCAACACTTAACGTCCCCATCTTAATCTGCAGTGTGGGATGAAAGGTTCGGGGCATTCTCACATTCTTTCTTCCCAGCAGAGACTGTCACCACAACCAATTGCTGTCAGTGGCCGAGGTGGTCGCTGGGTCCTTTAATGTTTTAATGTCCCTTCTGTCCTTCAGAGAAGTTGGGAACCTCCCATGTCTGCTCCTCTCCCCCAACTCCATGCAGCCCTGAGTCAGCTTAGACTGCAGCACTGAAGCTGTGCCTAACAGTCGCAGGATGACTTTGACCAATACTTGACCTTTCTAGTTTTCATTTCTTTTTTTTTGGGTTGAAGGAGCAGAGCAGGGTGGACCAACTGGGCTTCTTAATCTGGGGAGTTCTGTGATCCCTCCAAAACTGTGTAGGACTGTGCATTGTTTTTGGGAGAGAGTGCAGAGACTTCGATGATTTTCAAACAGGTCTGTGATCCACGATAGGCGATAATCCTCACCCAGCTGGATGGTTACTAAGTCTTTGCCTGAACTAGCAGGAAGAGCCAGGAAAGCTGAGATTTGGATGCATGGCTTTTCCTGTTCCTTTTCTACCCCTCTGCAGTGGCAGAACTGTCCCCTCCCCCATCTCTGCAGCAAGGCCCCTCCCATAGCAAACCTCTGCTCCCTTGGCTTTGCCCTTCACTTCACTTCAGACCATCCCAGAACTTTGGGCCCACCAGCTTCCTTCCTTCCTCCCTCTCCATCAAGACTCAAGCCCTGGGTGCCACTATCTGAGGATCCAGGATATTCACTTTCAGGAGATGTAGACCAGTCTCCAGACCTCCAGTAGCCCCAGTTAGTCTTCTGGGAACCAGAAACCAGTTGCTGGCAGGGGCCAGGGTGTAGCCACCATTGGCTCAGGGGCTCCTGTGCTAGAGAATGTGCACTCAGGCCCCAACTCCATGCAGCCCTGAGTCAGCTTAGACTGCAGCACTGAAGCTGTGCCTAACAGTCGCAGGATGACTTTGACCAATACTTGACCTTTCTAGTTTTCATTTCTTTTTTTTTGGGTTGAAGGAGCAGAGCAGGGTGGACCAACTGGGCTTCTTAATCTGGGGAGTTCTGTGATCCCTCCAAAACTGTGTAGGACTGTGCATTGTTTTTGGGAGAGAGTGCAGAGACTTCGATGATTTTCAAACAGGTCTGTGATCCACGATAGGCGATAATCCTCACCCAGCTGGATGGTTACTAAGTCTTTGCCTGAACTAGCAGGAAGAGCCAGGAAAGCTGAGATTTGGATGCATGGCTTTTCCTGTTCCTTTTCTACCCCTCTGCAGTGGCAGAACTGTCCCCTCCCCCATCTCTGCAGCAAGGCCCCTCCCATAGCAAACCTCTGCTCCCTTGGCTTTGCCCTTCACTTCACTTCAGACCATCCCAGAACTTTGGGCCCACCAGCTTCCTTCCTTCCTCCCTCTCCATCAAGACTCAAGCCCTGGGTGCCACTATCTGAGGATCCAGGATATTCACTTTCAGGAGATGTAGACCAGTCTCCAGACCTCCAGTAGCCCCAGTTAGTCTTCTGGGAACCAGAAACCAGTTGCTGGCAGGGGCCAGGGTGTAGCCACCATTGGCTCAGGGGCTCCTGTGCTAGAGAATGTGCACTCAGGAGGAAGGGACAAAGGGTCTGGCACAGAGGCCTTGGGCTCTGCTGTGACCTTGGACTCTGTGCAGAAACCTGCAAGGAAAGAACTGTGGCTTCATGTGACCTGATTGCTCAGAGCATCCTCATGCCTCTGAAGGTCACAGGCTCATTAACTTGTTCAGCCACAAGCCTCTGACCTCCACCTCAGAGTTAAGCCCCATGGGCCAGATCTCACATCTGAAACCCCAGCACTGTCAGCCCCTTGCTGGGAGCTGGACAAGGCATTAAGGGCCAGAAATGGGGCTTCCTCTGCCTTGCAGGGTTTATGGATCCCTGGTTGGGGGAGACAGAGACTGATCTGTGGAGCCAGATAGACACTAGATTTGAATCCCAGCTCTGCCACTCACTAGATAGGTGGCCTTGGGCAGTAATCACTTGCCTATCTCACAGGATGGGATGAGTTAAGCATCCAGGATGGAACCTGGCACCCTAGAGGTTGTCAACCAATGTGCGTGACCTTTGTGATCTGGACATTGGAACCCAAATCCAGGTGTTCTAATCCTGTGCTCTGCTCCCTTCTCCTTCAGTGAGGCTGGACCGACTGTCGGAAGCAGCCAAGGTGAACACAGACGCAATGCGCTCAGCCCAGGAGGAGATTACTGAGTACCGGCGTCAGCTGCAGGCCAGAACCACAGAGCTGGAGGCTCTGAAAAGCACCAAGGAGTCACTGGAGAGGCAGCGCTCTGAGCTGGAGGACCGTCATCAGGCCGACATTGCGTCCTACCAGGTGGGTGGGGCAGGGCAGAGAACCAGACTGCCTAACCTGGTTGGGTAACACCGGACAAGTCACTGCCCCTCTCTGGGCAGAGGTTGTAGTAGTTAAGGCCCTGATTCTTTGGCCAGCTGGTTAGTTCAGTTGATTAGAGCACAGCATGGGTTTGGATTCCTGTATTTGACAGCCACCAAACAAACAAAAAAGACCATGGGCCTTTGAGTCAGACATACCAGTGCCTCCTAGCTGGGGGGCGGGGGGGTGTTTTTTCAGCAAAGTTATCTGCCTGTCTGAATCTGAATTCCTAACCTGAAATGGGAAAAAAAAAAAAAAAAAAAGAATGCCTGCTTTGCAGAGCTGTGAAGGCTAAAGAGATAGACAAACTTTAAATGAGATGATTGTGAGCATGCACAGCAGGGTCAGGGTCACAGTAGACATTCAATAAGGAGTAACCAGGATCTGTGGGTATCCTGGGAAAAGCCTTCGCAGATTCCTCATGTTAAGATAACTGGTGAGAGAAAATATTGATTGTGAGCATGCACAGCAGGGTCAGGGTCACAGTAGACATTCAATAAGGAGTAACCAGGGTCTGTGGGTATCCTGGGAAAAGCCTTCGCAGATTCCTCATGTTAAGATAACTGGTGAGAGAAAATATCACTTTTTTTTTTTTTTTTAAAGATGACCGGTAAGGGGATCTTAACCCTTGGCTTGGTGTTGTCAGCACCACGCTCACCCAGTGAGCGAACCGGCCATCCCTATATGGGATCCAAACCCGCAGCCCTGGTGCTATCAGCACTGCACTCTCCCGAGTGAGCCATACCGGCCATCCCTATATGGGATCCGAACCCGCAGCCCTGGTGCTATCAGCACTGCACTCTCCCGAGTGAGCCACGGGCCGGCCCGAGAAAATATCACTTTCAAAGAACTTAGCATGCAAGTAATACATGGTGATTGTAGAAAAATTAGAAAATAGAGAAAGCAAAATGGAGAAAATAAAAAATCAGCCATTATTTACTTTAAGCAGTGACTACAGTGGTCCTGGGGTTGGGGGAGAGGTTTCAACTCATATTTAAGATGCTTTCTTTGTATGGTCTCAGTCATCAACAACAGATGCTTACCAAGCCCTGGCTGTGTGGCAGGCATTTGGAGGCATTGTGGAAACAATGGGGAGCAAAAGCAGAAAAGGCCCCATGCTCACTGAGCATTTTCTAAGCTTAAGAGATCTGCAAAAATTTACCCAACATCCCACCAACGAGACCAATGATAACTACTGTTGACATCTGGTGTGTTTCATTCCAGACCTTTCCCAGTGCTGAGATTATAAACACAGCAGGATGTTTGCTGCAGATTTTTCCATGTCTATGAATGAGGACTCTGCAGCTTTGACAGGATGGGGGTTGGCCCCAGCCAGCCTGGCTGGACAGGGCTGCTCTGGGTTTGCAAAATGGTCCCTGAGGGCCAGGCACTGGCCAGCAGGTGATATGTGTGACCTCTCATCCCCAGGAAGCCATTCAGCAGCTGGACACCGAGCTGAGGAACACCAAGTGGGAGATGGCAGCCCAGCTCCGAGAGTACCAGGACCTGCTCAATGTTAAGATGGCTCTGGATATTGAGATTGCAGCTTATAGGTGAGGTGGACCAGGGGCCTGTGGGTGGGTGGTGGAGAACCCTTGTGTTCTTACAAGGGGCTAAGCCTTGGGTTTCAAGCCCTCATTTAGGCAGCCTGCCTGTCTTAGAGACAAAAGTTTTTTTTTTTTAATTGTGGTAAAATATACAAAAACATAACATTAACCATTTATCTATTGTAAGTATACAGTTCAGTGGTATTGAGTACATTTACAGTGTTAGGCAATCATCACCACCATCCATCTCCAAAACTGTTTCCATCATCCCAAACTGAAACTCCATACCCATTAAACACTAATCCTGTAATCTCCTTTTCCCTCAGCCCTGGCAACCATTTTCCTTTCTGAGAGACAAAAGTCTTGAGAGTGTCTTATTTTCATTCTGGCAGTGATTTAGAGGATTAAAGCTCTTCATTCCCTTTTTAAATCCAGCCAGCGGGAGGCCTGCTTTGGAGGGAAAAGAGGTACTTGAGTTGTCAGGAGCCTCTACAACTCTGTCCTTTAAGAGTTTCTTAGCTCTCTGAGCATTTGTTTCCTGGGAAAGGAAAATGGAGAAGATGATAACAGTACCCACATCACGGGGTTGTTGGGGGATGAGCTAATCCTGTTCACAAGCTAATCCAGGTAACACCAGTCCCACTGGACTGCCACAGAGGAAGCCCTTAAATGTTAGGTGGTAGCCATGAGAAAGCCAGTCCCCAGGAATGAGACCTCCTGGCTTAGCAGGGCTGACTTCCTGGGTGTCCCAGTTGCTGACTGGTGACCTTTGACTTCCCATCTCTTGGCTCTAGTCTGTAGTCTTGCTGCTCAAAGTGCGGCCCATGAGCCAGCAGAATCAGCATCATTGGAGAGCTTCTTAGAAAGGCAGACTCTCAGGCCCCTCCCCAGACCTGCTGAGTCAGAATCTGCATTTTAATGAGGTCCCCAGATGATTTATATGCTTTTAAATTTGGGAAGCACTGGTCTGGAGGGGTAATCCCTATGCTTACTCTGAGGCAGACATGATGCTCTGCATTTTAATGAGGTCCCCAGATGATTTATATGCTTTTAAATTTGGGAAGCACTGGTCTGTAGGGGTAATCCCTATGCTTACTCTGAGGCAGACATGATGCTAAGTCCTTTTTACTCATTATCTCGTTGAAGCCACCCTCTGAGGCAGGGACTTATGAGATCAGTTGAACAATTTGTCTCCTGCAGGTCATATTTTTCAATTGATTGTTCAGTTGAGCAATTTGTCTCTGTCAGTTTAGCCACAAAAGCAGATATCATAGCAGTCATGGTCTAGAGAGGGGAATATGGGTTTTTGGTATTGTAGATACTACCGATCAATCAGCTATTGGTTATTTGGAAATTGTTAGTCACCGTTCTGCCCAAACTTTGCTGCATATTTGCAACACGTTACTGCAAAGGAAGAGGCCAAATCCCCAGAGAAGGAAGCCAAGTCCCCTGCAAAGGAAGAGGCCAAATCCCCAGAGAAGGAAGCCAAGTCCCCTGCAAAGGAAGAGGCCAAATCCCCAGAGAAGGAAGCCAAGTCCCCTGCAAAGGAAGAGGCCAAATCCCCAGAGAAGGAAGCCAAGTCCCCTGCAAAGGAAGAGGCCAAATCCCCAGAGAAGGAAGCCAAGTCCCCTGCAAAGGAAGAGGCCAAATCCCCAGAGAAGGAAGCCAAGTCCCCTGCAAAGGAAGAGGCCAAATCCCCAGAGAAGGAAGCCAAGTCCCCTGCAAAGGAAGAGGCCAAATCCCCAGAGAAGGAAGCCAAGTCCCCTGCAAAGGAAGAGGCCAAATCCCCAGAGAAGGAAGCCAAGTCCCCTGCAAAGGAAGAGGCCAAATCCCCAGAGAAGGAAGCCAAGTCCCCTGCAAAGGAAGAGGCCAAATCCCCAGAGAAGGAAGCCAAGTCCCCTGCAAAGGAAGAGGCCAAATCCCCAGAGAAGGAAGCCAAGTCCCCTGCAAAGGAAGAGGCCAAGTCCCCAGCTGAGGTCAAGTCCCCAGAGAAGGAAGCCAAGTCCCCTGCAAAGGAAGAGGCCAAGTCCCCAGCTGAGGTCAAGTCCCCAGAGAAGGAAGCCAAGTCCCCTGCAAAGGAAGAGGCCAAGTCCCCAGCTGAGGTCAAGTCCCCAGAGAAGGAAGCCAAGTCCCCTGCAAAGGAAGAGGCCAAGTCCCCAGCTGAGGTCAAGTCCCCAGAGAAGGAAGCCAAGTCCCCTGCAAAGGAAGAGGCCAAGTCCCCAGCTGAGGTCAAGTCCCCAGAGAAGGAAGCCAAGTCCCCTGCAAAGGAAGAGGCCAAGTCCCCAGCTGAGGTCAAGTCCCCAGAGAAGGAAGCCAAGTCCCCTGCAAAGGAAGAGGCCAAGTCACCAGCTGAGGTCAAGTCCCCAGAGAAGGCCAAGTCCCCTGCAAAGGAAGAGGCCAAATCCCCAGAGAAGGAAGCCAAGTCCCCTGCAAAGGAAGAGGCCAAGTAGGGGCCCGGAGCTCCAGGGTCTGTGTGATGAATTTTCCTTTTCCTCCCTTTTCTTTATGTAAGAAGAAACTCTGTTTAGATGACGGGCCCTCCTTCACCAAACAGGAATTTCTGTTAGCAAAATGTTAGCAAGACAGGGCACTCCCAGCCCCCTGCCCTCCATGTCCCAAACCCTCCCCAGGCGACGGACAACTATGTTATGATAGCTTATGTAGCCGAATGTGATATATGCCGAATGCCATACGTAAACACTTGACTATAAAAACTGCCCCCCTCCTTTCCAAATAAGTGCATTTATTTCCTGTATGTGCAACTGACAGGTGACCGCAATAACGAATGAGCAGTTAGAAACACATTATGCTTGAGATGTCTTAACCTATTCTCAAATGCCTTCTGTTTTCCAAAGGAGTGGTCAAGCCTTGCCCAGAGCTCTCTATCCTGGAAGAGCTGGAGCGGGTGGGGCTGGGCTTTGGCCACTGAATCACGCCAGGGCGCACTTTCCACTGGAGTCCACTTTCAATTGCTTCTGTGCAATAAAACCAAGTGCTTACAAAATGAAAATGCTGCTGCTATTTTATTCTCTTCCCCTGGGAAGTCTGGGGACAGGGGCAGACTTCGTGGGTCTGAGCGAGCATCAGAGTTCTCTTGTGGGTCTGGGACCAGTTGCATGGCTTTTCTGGTGCTATTTCTCGGCACGAACCATGTGCCAGGCAATGTTCTAGGTGCTTTATTTTTTTAGTGTATAGACAGGTGGCCTGGTGTGCAGTTGCTCAGTGTGGTCCAGGGACCACCTTCATAGTAGCACCCGGGAGCCTTATAAAAATGCGCCCTAGACCATTGAATCCCAGTCTGAGCAGTAGGCCTGGGAGAGTTACACGCTTCACTAACTCTCAGCTGATTCTCATGCACACTGAATTTTGGGAACAGGTGAGGTCCACGCAGACTTTGAACAGTCTATTTATAGGGCTCTGCTTGTGCTCTTTTGTAAGGATGGAGGAGCCTTCTGACTGAGGAGCCATATGTAGCTAATTCACCTATAAGTGAAGACTTTAGTCACCACTTCATTGGGAACTTAATTAGTCTCCAAGGTGCTTCTCTGGACATGGTTTTTAAAGATGTGGTCTGCTTGTAGATTTACTGTGAAATCTGTGTGCAGTTTCTCATGTTAGGACTGTTACAGTACCTTTTTCTGTTTGCCTGGTTTCTCTCCTGGGAATTGCTTCTCTCCCATCTCAACCAGAAGGTTCTCAGGGAGCCCCTGTATTTTCTAATTGCCCTATACCACTGGTCACTGTTGATGATTGGTCCGAGGATGGCCACCTGACACCAGCTGAGCCAATGAAAGCCCTTTCCTGGGATTTTAAGCTTGTGACCAGGGCGAGTGGCTGGCAGTCCTCTGGTTGTGGAAGGTGAGGATGTGAGAATCAGGAGCTGTGTGTGCCGTGTTTCTGACCTTGTGGAAATGCTAGTATGAGAGGGTGGGATAGACAAACAAGATATCTAGAGAGCCATGGGTAGATTTCAGGTCCCGGATTCATGCTCCTTTCCATAGCTTTCCATAGCTTGTTGGCCATTCCTTGAGCCAATAAATCCCCCTCTGCCAAAACTCATTTGGGTTATGGTTCCATCATTTACAACCAGAAGAGTTCTGAATGGTATAGACTGAAGGGGCTGATTGCTATGCTAGAAACCAAGTAGTGAGCTCTCAGGGAATGAAAAAGTACCTCTTCAGGGCCGGCCCGTGGCTCACTTGGTAGAGTGCGGTGCTGATAACACCAAGGCTGCGGGTTCGGATCCCATATAGGGATGGCCGGTTTGCTCACTGGCTGAGCGTGGTGCTGACAACACCAAGCCAAGGGTTGAGATCCCCTTACCGGTCATCTTTTTAAAAAAAAAGAAAAAAAGAAAAAGTACCTCTTCAGAGTTCTGCCCAGCTCAACTCTTCAGGCCAGGGTCCACATTTCACCTTTGGCAACCATTTTTCATCTGTCACAAGGTCTGAATTTTTAAAAGAAAGAGTGTCAAGACAGTTTAGGGTGGTCACACTTAATCAAGGGGATCTTTAAATGCTATTTTAGAAATGATTTTGATTGGTTTTTCAAGTTATCAAACATGCCCGAAGACTCTAAAAATCTAAGCATTAATTTTCTGAGCAGCTGTGTCCTAGGGAAGTCAGACAGACCTCCACATGCTCTGGCACATAGCTACAGCATCTGAATATCAAGCTGGGATCTGGGACCCAGGAAACCCCCATGTGTCTTGTCTGAAAAAAGCTTCAGTTGCCTGAGTACCTCAAATTGTTTATAGTAAGTACGATTTGTTGAGATAACTATGTGTATTAGTCTGTTTATGTTACTTATAACAAAATACCTGGAACTGGGTGATTTATAAGAAAATGAAATTTATTGCTTACAGTTTTGGAGGCTAGGAAGTCTGAAGTCCAAATTCTAGGGAGCACATCTGGTGAGGGTCTTGATGATGACTTTAGTGATGGCAGGAAATCACATTGCAAAAATGGCAGAGCAGAGAGAGATACATACTCTTTATGCTCCCCTTTTAAAGTTCTCAGAACCATGGCCCTGACCACCATTATTAATCCATTCACTATGGCATGGGTCCTACAATCTAATCACCTCTTCAAGGCCCCACCTTTCAATTACTGTAATAGGATTTCCTACCCTCTTAACACTGTCACAGTGGGAGTCAAGTTTTGGGGGGACACTCAATCCAAGGCACCATGTTTTTACATAAAGTCTCTTCTATCCACATGGGCATTTTGCAAGGCAAATATCTTCATGCATATTTTAATGTAAGAAAATAGGTGAAGTGAGTTGCCCAGAGCCACACAGCTGGTAAGTAGTAGAAACAAGATTTGAGCCCAGAACTTAACTCCCAGAGTTCATATGCTTTTTGCAGTACCATGCCACAGAATTCTGAACAAGCTGCTTTGGTGTTTCATTGGTTTAATTTTGTTCATCAAATGACTGCTATGTAGGGTGACAACTGTCCCAATTTGCCTGGGATGTGGGATTTCCCAGGACAAAAGACTTTAGTGCTGAAACCAGGAATGTCCTGGGAATATGGGGATGAATTGCTCCTCCTAATGTTTGAGCAGCCACTTTAGCACATTTCAGAATAAATCAGGTGATGAAAACGTATTGGCTGGAATCTGAAAGGTCTGAAATGAAGTCAATGGGACTCGACCATGTTGTTCTCAGCTCTGTTTTTCTCAGTTTTGTCTTCTGTGATAAGCTGCTTTTAAAATGACTCCCAATGATTCCCACCTCTGGTATTCGTGCCCCTGCCCTTCAGTGTGGGCCTGGCCTAGTGACTTGCTTCTAATGGCTAGAATAGGGCAAAGTAATGG